TTGCAGCACAATTTACATGAATCGCCCGGCTTATCTGTACCTCCTGGGTATACTTGCTCACTAAAGTAGAGTTTATTGGGGCTTACTGAGTTTCCCTATTTATGCAATAACAGATTTAATATTCATGCATTTTACTGTTCGAAGTATGTCAAATTATGATGTCATCTTTACAATGGTATGACATCACTATCCTCGTCGGTCATTGCTAGGTGATGCAGCAACAATATTGTTAGTAATTTTGAAATTGATGAAAGTGGATAAGATTTAGAAAACCTTCTGATTTCCAACACTGGAAACATTTATAAGAAGAATACTTTTGGGTTTTAAGAGTGGAACTATCTTACCTCTCCTTTTGTACGATGGGTACAAAGGCCCTGCGCCACTGATAAACAATAATAGATTACAAATAAATTGTTAAAGAGAAAGAGATATACACTGAGACACCAAAAGTCACCTCAATATATTGCATTCCATTACAAATATCCTTAGTTTCCAATTGAAAGTCTCTCTTTTATATCCTGATCTTGTTTTTTCAGGTGAAGTGATGATGACATGCAAGAAATCATTATTCTGGAGGATGAAGCTTTCATTCAACATGTTCAAGCGATGAATTTGGTTTGTTATTGATGAACTGTCTGAAGAGGATTGCCAAAACAGTGAAGATGAGGATTTTATAGCAGAGTCTGATTCCCGTAAAGCTGCTGAAGGGTTACACAGACCGGCACTATCTGTCAGCATACTACTGATTCTGGCCTTTTACAACCGGCATTCTCTTACATCGGATGGGATAGCTGAGTTTGTTTGCATCTGCTTCACTTGCACTGTACAGCGGGACGCACTGTCTGCCAACTTCGGCTATATGCTTTTAAAGAATATTTTACCACAATGTTGACCATCCACTGATTTACCACAGAAATTACTGTTCATTTTTGTTTGCTTGTTGTTAGAACATCAAAGAATGTGGACACCTGCCAGAATCCGCTATGTTTTGAAGAAACTAAATGAAGAAGGAAGTGAAGTGTCTGGCTTCATTGAAATTCCGATAGAATCCTCAACTACAATCAATGTTCAAAGCGCCAGGGTTCATCACTTTGGTTTATTACATAAAATCAAGTAGCAAAGGGAATGAAGAGGCAGTTGAAGATATCTGTGATGGTTTACAATACAAGAAATTAAGTTGCCGGCCGGGATCCACAAGTCAATTAATATGATTTGAGCCGGTGACTTTTAATACAGATGGTGCCTAAAGCCACGTTTAGAAGTTCCAAAACCAACTTATGGCCCAATTTTACCTAATGATAAATGGACTACCTTATGCAGAGGAAGGAGATACCCGAGGAAAATATGGTTTTAGCTGGGTTTGGGAATGTGGTAGCCTAAAAAAGAAACCATCTATGACAAGGATTTCCTAGCAACACCTTTTATAGAAAACGATACAAAGATTTGGAAAAGTTTGCGTAGTACAGCTTTTAGATGGAGCAGTTAGAGTAATAAAGAAATATATTGATAGAAGTACCTGTAGTCTTCCTGCTAGAGCATGTGTTTGTGCCATGAATCAGTTACAATGGACAGTCGTCATGTGTGAAAGTGTCTTCAAACAGGAAGAGTTGTGAAAGTAGGAAAAGGCCATACAAGAGTCTTCCCTCAAACGCGGAATGTTTGGATGGACCAATAGATCAGCGAGGAACAACTCAGTGACTAGGGATGCTCTTGATGCTGTCGATTGAAGGTGCCAGTAAATGGCATCAAAGGGCCCCTCATGGTTTTCTTACCTCACATTTTCAGTTTGTACATGGAACTGGCATTGATTATATGCAGTGTACTTCTTAAAAATTATAGCTTATGCATTCACTGTGGTTTGCAAGTAAGCATAATGCTCAAGTATTTAGTGTTGCTGGTTTGATTGATAAAGTTAACCGGCGGCTGCTCCAAATAAAACCTCCCAACTACATGTCAAGATTGCCAAGATCTTTGATGGACTCTGATTACTGGAAGGCATCGAGATGGAAATACTGGATGTTATATTATGCTCCAGCAGTCATGCATGATATTCTTATGCCAGAGTACTACAGACATTTTTGTTTTATCAGAAGTATTTTCTTACTATTGCAGGATTCCATCAAACCTTCAGATATCCATACAGCGAGATACTGTTAGCTAGATTTGTTGCAATGTTTCCAGTGATGTATGGGGAATCAAATGTGGCTCTTAATGTACACCAACTACTGCACTTGCCTGATAATGTTCTGAATTTAGGTCCTCTGTGGTGCTTTTCATGCTTTCCCTTTGAAGATGCAAATGGTTTTCCATTGAAGCTATTTAATGGAACTCAGCATAAACCAGATAAACAGATAGCTCATGCTGTTGCAGTCATGCAGAAAATGCCTGAGTTGATTCCTGCCATAGAAAGAACAGTGTGGCATATGATCTCTACTGTAGGTTGAAAAACAAATCAAAATACAAAGGTGATTATGATGTTGGATGCGCAGGTTTATCTCATTGGAGCAACAAGGGAATTCCTAAACCAGTTGTCACCAGAGTATGATCATGCTGTGAAGGGAAAAGAGTTTCTGGTCCTTTTTGAAAAGCTAGTGACTTTTAAAGGGGTCAAAGTCGATGGAGATGTTTACTTCTCAGAGGCATACAAAGCGTGTACTTTTTAAGAAATAGTTGTACTGTGCTATATGCAAGTGATTCATCACATATGTATGGCATAATGAAACTTTCATGCGAGTTTCTCCCGTGTGTCAGTGTCAGGAATTCAGCAGTTGTGTCTGTGTGACAAGAAACTTTGCCATGATTAGGTGCTTGGAAGTGAGTGAGTAACTTCATGGAAGTCAAATACATTAGGGAAGTGAGGTCCACTAATGACAAAGAAAATAACTGCTGTGGATCTGAATGCTTTGAAGCGGAAGTGTGTCTTTATCAAGGTTCCACGATTCTGATGCTGTTTTTCTCTGTAATGTACCAAATGTTTTGGAAAAGATTGAGGTTGTTGTTACGATCAGTTAAGAATCATTTTTGTTGTGCTTTTGAGATGTAAATGTATTTTTTTCCCTGTTTTTAGAATATTTTTAAAGGTTACATGCAGCCAAAAGCAAATATGAATTAAATCACAATTATCATTTATTCATGACTTATTATACATTTCTGAGACAAGCAAAATTATAAAAGCATATAATCGCAAATCAAAAGTGCAACATATGTTGGTAGTTGGGTTTACACCAATAGAAATTCATCGAGTAAAAGCGAAGCAACTGGGATACAGATGGGGCTTAAGCCTTGGGTGTATGGCAGAGATTTTCATTAAGCTGGTTCATTTGCCGTCACGTGCAGGTGTGTGTATATATAGAAATGTTGGGTTCTTTAAATACATGCTGATTTTCTGCATTTTGCATTTGATTCAATCAACAAAAACTGAGATGGTGACTATTGCGTTTGCTTTTGAGCTGCTTAACGTTTGTCCAAGTACAAAGTAGGACTTGGAAACTGATAATCTGAGTTTGCACGGTTTCCGTCCGATCTGTTCATCCAGAGACAAATGGATGCAGTTTTGTTTGCAATCAGCAAACATCATAACATGTTGATGTACAAGTATCACATCTGCCTGTCCCCTTGTAATTACATAATGTGACAGAGACAGAACATTTATGGTGTATAACCTGATAAGTGCATATTGTCATTAGCAGACATTGAGTTTTGTCTGTGACAGATGCTGCTTATCACAATCAACATATGTTGTTTTCTATGTTTCCATATACTGAGTACATGAATTGAAACATTGCAGTTTTGAAGCTGAGCATTTTTAACGATGATATTAGTATTTCTAATGCACTTTACTTTCTTGAAAACTAATGGTTTTGTAAATCTGCCAACCAACCCCAAAAGCATGATGTGAAAAGTATGGAACCAGTGTATTTTTATTACTGCAGATCCAAGATGCTTGTAATCACAAGAAACATCTTTTGTTCTCTAACTTTGACTAGAGTGATAATCCTTGAAAGCATTACTTGCTGGGTGACCATCTAGTGAATAAACCAATGTTCCAGGCATCCTGGTTCCAAGCCATGCAAATCTAATCACTTTGCCTTGGCCTTGGCATAGCTATTGAAACCACTTTTACCCCAAGCTGGGGTGAAATTAGTGAATCGTTTGAACTCCGATTTTTCGCGGTATTTTTTCATCACATTTTTTTCAACTTTATAAGTTGAATTTGCATTTTGATGATTGGTAACTGTAAGTCCATACCAAGGTATCAGAATCTGCAAAGTTGTGTTTTGCATTGCATGAGACCTTTAACAATTTGTTTAAAATATCTTCCAAAATATTTTTGTAATTTCAGCATAGTAAACCTCTCTTTTTTTAGTTGTACAATGGAAAAACTGTGTCTTTTATTTTCAATACTCCATAAATTCCATTTTTTGTTTTTTATGGCAATAAACTCTATTTGTGATTGAAATAATTTGTAAAGTATGTATTTTGAATGTAACTGCCAAACCCTTGAAAATTGTAGAAATATGTAGATTTGGAAGAACAAATTTTATCAATGATGTTATGTTTCATGTATGTTATGTTTATTGTAGATATCCACTCATATCAGAGAATAAATTTTGTAAAAATGAACATTTTAACTTCTTATAAGTTTCTCATACAAAATAAGAAAAGATGAAAAGTTCTTATAAGAAATTTTTTGTCACTAAGAAATATATAAGATTAAATTATAAGAAACACCATTATAATTTCTTATAAGTTTCTTATTCCTAATTATTTCTTATAAGAATCTTATAAGAATTCATCTTCTTATAAGAATCTTATAAGATTCTTATAAGAATCTTATAAGATCTTATAAAGGTAAAACCCGTCTGGTACTAGCTCACTTCTACACCTACATCATCTGCTGTCTACCTCTCCTGAGCCAGAGTATACTAGCTCACTTCTACACCTACATCATCTGCTGTCTGCCTCTCTACTAGCTAGAGTATACTAGCTCACTTCTACACCTACATCATCTGCTGTCTGCCTCTCTACTAGCTAGAGTATACTAGCTCACTTCTACACCTACATCATCTGCTGTCTACCTCTCTACTAGCTAGAGTATACTAGCTCACTTCTACACCTACATCATCAGCAGTTGCTGGATTACCGAGTACATTACATTGTTTCATTCTGAGAATGTCTGTCAAACACACACATCATACAGACATCATGCAGACATCACACACATCATGCAGACATCACACACATCATACAGACATCACACCTCATGCAGACATCACACACATCATACAGACATCACACATATCATGCAGACATCACACACACATGCAGACATCACACACATCATACAGACATCACACACATTATGCAGAGATCACACACATGCTGACATCACACACATCATGCAGACATCACACACATGCACACATATCATACACATCACACACATCATGCAGAAGTCACACATGCAGACATTACACACCCAGAGATCATGCAGATGTCACACAGAGACATCATGCAGACATCACACAGATGCATCACACAAATCATGCAGAACTCACACATCACACAGACATTACACACAGATCATGCAGATATCACACACAGACATCATGCAAACATCACACAGATGCATCACACAAATCATGCAGACATCACAAACACCTCACACACATGCAGATATCACGCAAACATCACACACACATCGTGGAGACATCACACGCATACACACACATCACACAGATGATGATGTGTGTGTGATGCCAAAGTGAAAGGTGCTTGCATTTTTGGTGTGTGATATCTGCATGATATGTATGTATATGTGTGTACACATTTGTCTGCTGGGGGAACACGCTCCCCATTCCTTCACTGCTGTCACTGTGTTGCTCTATATGACATTGGCTGTTCAAATAATGGAGTAAGTGAAAGAGATTGCTCAGATAAGATGTAAAACAAATAGGCTCCCATTAACATGAAAATAATGGTGAAAAAATGTAAATTAAATGTCATTCAGAATTTGAGATGTTTTTCTCTATGAAGTGCCCCTTTGTGTGAGTGATCTGTAAACTAACAGAGTGATCTGTAAACTAACAGAGTGATCTGTAAACTAACTGTAAAGTCAGAGCTGTCAGATGCCTCTTCTCAGAAGTCTTGTATTAATACTATAAATATATGTTTAGCTTGTGTATGGTTTAAAATCTTATGATGTCAAAAAATTATTTAAAAACATTTTTCTCTTTGCCATGTTTCAGAGAGTCAAAGAAAACATTAAGAATTCTTGAAGGAATGATGTCATCAGGCACTCGATCTGTTACTCCAAAGACTCCAAATACCTCCAGCAAGAAGTTCAAGAAGCTGTCTCTGTAGCAGTATGTGACCCCCAACACTTCCACCCACCCCAATGTCCACATCCAACCCCCACACAGAGGAAGATCACCAGTCTGAGGAGCAACAGGAGACCCCAACACTTCCACCCACCCCAGTGTCCACATCACCCCCCTCTTTCCCCCACACAGAGGAAGATGGCCAGGCTGAGGAGCAACAGGTGACCCCAACACTTCCACCCACCCCAGTGTCCACATCCACCTTTCCCCACACACAGAGGAAGATGGCCAGGCTGAGGAGCAACAGGTGACCCCAACACTTCCACCCACCCCAATGTCCACATCCACCCCCACACAGAGGAAGATCGCCAGCGACAACAGGTGACACCAACACTTCCACCCACCCCAACACTGAAGAACCTGTGTAGCAACATTTGATGCCCAGGATGTTCCTAGACATCTGGACTGACACCATCTTAAGTCGGCTTAAAATATTTGTGTGAAAATAGCAAATATTTCATGTGGCTTAATAATAACTAATGACTGATCATGAGTAGGATCTCATATCTTGACATGATCGAGACACAGCTTTGATGATCAATGTCTATTGGAGAAAGATTTGTTGATTTGTTTGATTATTGTACCTATATTTCTGTAAGTAGATTGTGGAACGTTGGACAACTTACTATACATGTGATAATATAAGCTTGCTGTGATGTTTCAGATTGTATAGATATATCATGGTAATCTATACATTCTAGTTATGCTTTATACAAATATTACCATAGGTATTTCAAGCTATGCCAGGTAATGCAAAATGTCCTGTATATATTTATTGCAACAAATACCAGTCAGGTTGTGATATCAAATCTGTATCAATGTGCTCTTACTTCTGCTCAGATGGTTGCATTTAACATTTAAATAAACTTTAAAGTTTGCTTTATATTTTATGTTTGCTGTTGTAAAAAAATTATAGAGATTGCATCACTCACTCAGTCAGACAAGTCACTCACTGAAAGGAATATTTCCCCTAGTAAAATGCAATTGAAGCACTGCTAAAATCACTGATTTGACATGCTCACTGAGAAGACATTTGGACCAGTTTGTTTTCACTGATTTCTTACCATCTTATCCAGTTGTGTTGAAGCACACACATTACCCAACTTTATATACACACAATGAACACTGAGCCCCTTACACATACATTGATACAACCATCCAACTCCATTCACTGGTAATTGAAGCCTTTGTTGATCTGTGTGAAATAAAATTCATCCCCAGAGTAGACCCTCATCCTATTGTGGGCATCATCTCTGTGTGAAGTAGATGTTCATCTCAGGAGTAGTAGACCTCATCCTATTGCAAGGGCATCATCTCTGTGTGAAGTAGATGTTCATCTCAGGAGTAGACCTCATCTTATTGTGGGCATCATCTCTGTGTGAAGTAGATGTTCATCTCAAGAGTAGACCTCATCTTATTGTGGGCATCAGCTCTGTGTGAAGTAGATGTTCATCTCAGGAGTAGACCTCATCCTATTGTGGGCATCAGCTCTGTGTGAAGTAGATGTTCATCTCAGGAGTAGACCTCATCTTATTGTGGGCATCAGCTCTGTGTGAAGTAGATGTTCATCTCAGGAGTAGACCTCATCCTATTGTGGGCATCAGCTCTGTGTGAAGTAGATGTTCATCTCAGGAGTAGACCTCATCCTATTGCAAGGCATCAGCTCTGTGTGAAGTAGATGTTCATCTCAGGAGTAGACCTCATCTTATTGTGGGCATCAGCTCTGTGTGAAGTAGATGTTCATCTCAGGAGTAGACCTCATCCTATTGTGGGCATCAGCTCTGTGTGAAGTAGATGTTCATCTCAAGGAGTAGACCTCATCTTATTGTGGGCATCAGCTCTGTGTGAAGTAGATGTTCATCTCAAGCATCAGTAGAGATGTTCTCTCAGGAGTAGACCTCATCTTATTGTGGGCATCAGCTCTGTGTGAAGTAGATGTTCATCTCAGGAGTAGACCTCATCCTATTGTGGGCATCAGCTCTGTGTGAAGTATATGTTGATCTGAATAGTTGACCTCATCTTATTGTGGGGCAGGGCATCATCTCTGTGTGAAGTAGATGTTCATCTCAAGAGTAGACCTCATCTTATTGTGGGCATCAGCTCTGTGTGAAGTAGATGTTCATCTCAGGAGTAGACCTCATCTTATTGTGGGCATCAGCTCTGTGTGAAGTAGATGTTCATCTCAAGAGTAGACCTCATCTTATTGTGGGCATCAGCTCTGTGTGAAGTAGATGTTCATCTCAGGAGTAGACCTCATCCTATTGTGGGCATCAGCTCTGTGTGAAGTATATGTTGATCTGAATAGTTGACCTCATCTTATTGTGGGGCAGGGCATCATCTCTGTGTGAAGTAGATGTTCATCTCAAGAGTAGACCTCATCCTATTGTGGGCATCAGCTCTGTGTGAAGTATATGTTGATCTGAATAGTTGACCTCATCTTATTGTGGGGCAGGGCATCAGCTCTGTGTGAAGCATGTGTTGATCTCAAGTGTAGAACTCATCCTTTTGCAGGGCATCAGCTCTGTGTGAAGATGGCAACATCATAGACATAACAGAATCCGACTGCCAACATTGTAAGCATTACCAAATCTGGCTTCTTACATTCTTGGTGTCACAAAATACAGCTTCCAACACTGTTTGTATCACCGAATCCGGAAGCCAACTTTAGAGCCATAACAGAATCCAGCTGCCAACATTGTAGGCTTCAGCGAAATCTAGATTCCAACACTGTAGGCATCAGCGAATCCAGCTGCTAACATCGTAGGCATCACCGAAACCAGCTGTTATCACTGTAGGCATCACCGAATCCAGCTGTTATCACTGTAGGCATCACCAAATCAAGCTGCCAACATTGTAGGCTTCACCAATTCCAGCTGCCAACACTGTAGGCATCAGCCAATCCAGCTGCTAACATTGTAGGCATCACCGAGAACCAGCTGTTATCACTGTAGGCATCACCGAAACCAGCTGTTATCACTGTAGGCATCACCAAATCCAGCTGTTATCACTAGGCATCACCAGAATCAAGCTGCCAACATTGTAGGCTTCACAATTCCAGCCGCCAACACCGTAGGCATCAGCGAATCCAGCTGCTAACATCGTAGGCATCACCGAAACCAGCTGTTATCACTGTAGGCATCACCGAATCCAGCTGTTATCACTGTAGGCATCACCAAATCAAGCTGCCAACATTGTAGGCTTCACCAATTCCAGCTGCCAACACTGTAGGCATTCCTCCATCTGGTGAATGCATACAACTTTGCATTCCAAGTAGGCGGAGACATTAAGTGTTTCCACTGCTTTGACCATTGGTGAGCCCGAGACTAACAAAATTAGCTTCTTAAAAACAAGGTAAATATTCTCACATGGAGCGTATCTGGTTAGAAATCTGAAGCCTTAGAATCCAGAGCATTCATCAGAATGTTTACACCTTTCTTGTTAGAGATGCCGAATGTGTCGGATTTGTGACGTGTTGCCAGTAGTGTATCATCCCTAATGATATCCTTTCTTTTGTCAGCCTTTGCAGTTAAGTCTCTTCCTGATTCGTGTAGGTATAACGCCTAGACACAAGGGGCATCAGCGTATATCTATCATATCTGAATACAAGGGTATTCAGTGCAGATGCATCAAATGCTTGGTCGTTGACGTAAAATGTCTTAATACAAGCATCAGAGTGGATATATGTAG